CCCGCAATTCGCTTTTAAAGTTTTGACTCCACCATCAGTAAGATCGTGTCGGGGGCTACCACATTCCCTTGGCGGTACCCACTTCCGACGTTCCGTTCACCCGCAATTCGCGTTTGAAGATTTGACTCCACCATCAGGAAGATCGTGTCGGGGGCTACCACATTCCCTTTGACGGTACTCACTTCCGACGTCCCATTCACCCGCAATTCGCGTTTGAAGATTTGACTCCACCATCAGGAAGATCGTGTCGGGGGCTACCACATTCCCTTTGACGGTACCCTCTTCCGACGTCCCGTTCACTCGCAATTCGCTTCTATTGGCGACACGAGAAAGAGAGACAGCGATTCGAGATTTACGAAACGTTAAACCGCGTGAGTTCGCAACGGAAGGTAAAAGGCGCCAGAAGTTGACTACTTCTCGAAGACGCGCGCGCGCCTCGCAAAAGGTCGTTAATTTCGCCCCTATGACAAAAAACAAAATTCCGCCACGCAAGAGTTGTGCGCGTTTACAACATCTTTCCGACGACACCAATTTCAAAAGAATCGGACCAAAACTGTAGTAGAAGATAGGAAAAAACTGAAAAACCTTCACGTTAGTATACTACGCTCGAGGATGACGCCCAGATGTCGCCAACCCCACATCTTGTAGCCATGTCCCTAAGGTTGACAATTTTCACGGCCCTGTAGATACACGTACACCCGTTGCCTTTCTACAAGAGTTCTTCTACGCGCCCACATTTGCTGCCAGCCAGCCAGCCAGCCAGCCAAAGTGAGATTAAAAGCTACTTTTTACAAATAAATTTGCAAAAATGCGCTAATAAGAATACTAGATAAAAATGAAAGAACTGTCATATAAACCATTACCACTTGATCCGTATGAATGAAATTTTAATCAATTGTTACCTTTTAGTAGTTAAACGTTTCTGCCAAGTTTGGTCAAAAAATTCCAACTCCTTCTTGGTGTTGCAATTTCCATGTCACTGAGTGTATGTAAGTGTGTAAAGCGATGGGGTATACAACAGGGAATTTTTTTTTAAATATTGATTTATGAGAAAAATTTATTCTTCATGATATTTTGTGCTTGCTTTGAAAGTACCAATAACGTTTCGATAATCTAAAATTTATTTATAGAAATCTGGAAAAATAATAAAATTAATTTTTTTTATTGAAAGTTACCATTCTACATTATAATTAAGATAGGAGTATTGCTATCAATCCACAAACAATCGAAACGTTATTGGTACTTTCAAAGCAAGCAAAACATATTATGAAGAATAAATTTTTTTCATAAATCAATATTTAAAAAAAAATTCCCTCTTGTATACCCCATCGCTTTACACACTGTATATAAGTATGTCTAATTTTGGAGGTCCACCCTCAATAGGTCAAATAGTCAATCGTTGAGGGTGGCCAGATCCATTTCACAGTTAGGCCGGGCGCTAAAGGGTTTGAGCATGCATTGAAAGTCTAACGCAGTTTTACTTTTGATTATTGTTAGGAGCATATAGTAGATGCAAAAAATCGATGTCGTCGTTTTTCCGCGATGGGCATCACATGCGGGGGAGGGGGCAAAGTCGCGCGCGTGGCGATTCACTTTATCGTTTATAACTCAAAGACGGTAATAGTTAGAGCACTGATTGAAGCGGCTGTTTACAGCTACTTATATTACCTACAAAAAAGGCCCTAAGGATAAAAGTCGTACCTCTAATCGTTTTGTTACAAATAAATTATTTGTGAATATATCTACATTCGATCATAAATCATATTTAATGCACATTTCTTATATGTGTTGAAAATAACTTTTAAGAAGATTTAGGCTTCGCAGAATGATACAAATTTTATTATTAAAAATATTATTGATTGACAGACTTTTACTCACTTGATAAATTAAAAAATTCAATATCATGAATCATTTACAACATTCTCCCACCTTGGGAACGAAACCATTAGTGAACAATAAATTATAAAGACAAACGCAAAACTGGTTTAATAATTCGTCCACTTCTGCTCACTTTAGGTACCTTAGCAGACTCATTACCACTGCTTGTACCTTGTGCAACATTTAAAGTAGAATCACAATGTTCATTTTCTAAAGACCCATTCAAATCCGATGATACACCTGATGGCGACGATGAAGTTTTGTTGTCCAAGTTCTCTTCAATCGAATCAAGACATTCGAGAGGGTAGAGTCGTTGAATTGGACGTAATACAATCCCCTTGGCAGTTTTAAGTCGCACTAGCCGAACCTGACGATCCTTTCCAGGAAATATTTCTGTAATTCTTCCTAATGGCCAGTCTATTCGTTTATCCTGATCATTACCAATCAGCACAATTTCATTCAATCGAACTTGAATATTTTTCTTTCCTTTGGAAGACAACTTCAGTTGACCCAAGTATTCTGTTCTAAAACGCTGACGAAGATTTTCTCGAAGTTTCTGACGATATGCAATCCGCTTATTTAAAGAAGACGAATCAATTGCATCCAAGTCAGGTACACCAATATCCCGTTGTTCTTGTAGAAAAGAATTTGGTGTTAATGGAGAGAGTTCCGATAGATCATCTGATAGATATGTGATTGGCCTTGAATTAACTATAGCTTCACAATCACATAAAACCGATACCAATTCTTCATAATTCATGGAAGCTCTGCCTAGTACTCTCCGAAGTAAAGATTTCAAAATTCTTATTATTCTTTCCCAAAATCCGCCCCACCACGCGGCGGTTGGTGGGTTAAAATACCACGTTATGCGATTAATTTCACTATACTTTAAAATAGTGGACCAGTCAATTTTTGATAATGCGTTTCGCGAACCGATAAAATTTGTTCCGCAATCACTATATACTATACGAGGGCGTCCACGACGACTGATGAATCTGCGTAAAGCTTGAAGAAAACAATTTGTCGATAACGAGGTAACAAGTTCAAAATGTACTGCACGATACACGGCACAAGTGAAGACACATACCCAACCTTTTTGAGATTCTTTCAAAATCAAAGGTCCAGCTAAGTCCACACCAATAACTTCAAATATGGCAGCGTCACGAACTCTGTTAAAAGGTAAAGGAGGACTATCTTGTTCCATTTTGTTCACTGAGTGACGCTTGCATGAAATACAGTTAGAAATAGCGCTTTTAACAGTACGACGACCACCTATAATCCAGTAGTGTTCTCTTAGTATGTTGAGCAGTGTTTGAACACCCACATGTGATGATTTTTGATGAAAATTGAAGATTAATTTTGTTACGACAGGGTGTTTTGCAGGTAATAAAATTGGATAACGAAAGTCTAATTCGTCATTTCTATGTGATATCTTAGTCTTCAATCGTATAATACCTTCAGCATCTATAAAAGAAGATAAAGATGACAACTGTTTTGTATCAACGAAAGAATCTTTTTGAATTAATTTCAACAAACATTTTTCAGCGATTTCTCGTTCTTCAGCCGACAACACGTGAGACATATGTCTATCTTCACTGTTACGGCAGTTATATGAAAACCGTAGAATCCAACCAAAAAGAGATACTATGTCGTCATACTTAGAAAATCGTTGAGTATACCAATAGGAACATTCATAATTAATTGACCATTGAAACAATTAATTTCTTCCGACGTTCTGCATTAATTTCATGTTCATTCAAGATGGCATGATCAAATTCTGGCCAGTTTTCTGGATGACTATACAGCCAACTAGGTCCTTCCCACCATCGCGATTCCAACAATTGTTTTGGTGAGCATCCACGTGATGGTAAGTCCGCAGGATTTAATGGGCCAGGCACATGTCGCCAATCTTCTTTATAAGTCAAACTTCGAATTTCTTTTGTCCTATTCCAAACAAATGTAGACCATTGGTCCTCCCTTTTTATCCATGAGATCACTGTACTTGAATCACTCCAGAAATAGCTCTTCATATTCTTCTTTGTCAACAAACTTAGAGTATCACTAACAAACTTGTATAATCGAGCTGCTATTGTAGCTGCAAGTAATTCAAGCCTGGGAATAGACAAAGTTTTTATTGTGGTTACTCGTGATTTTGCTTGTAACAAGTGAACGAAGACCGTATCCTCCTTCTGTATTCTGATAAATATGACAGCTGCATAAGCATCTTTGCTGGCATCACAAAATACATGTAAACTCAAGGACTGATCCTCATCGTTATAATAATTAATCCATCGAGGAATTCTTATCTGGAGTAAATAAGATAATTCGCCTCTCCATTTAAGAAATTTATATTTAGTTTCTCCTTCTATTTCATTGTCCCAACCAATATTTTCTTTCCATATACTCTGAAGTAACAATTTAGGATAAACGGTAGCAGGACAAGTGAAGCCTATGGGATCAAATATTTGTTGGGCAAGTGACAATATATATCGTTTACTAATTACAGCGTCTGCATCAATTTTACAACAATTTTGATTCACAGAAATGTTGTCAAATCTTTTATTCCAATTAAGTCCTAAAACTAATGTTTCATCAGAACCTTCTTCATAGGGAATATTCGTCATGGTATGTTCCCATGCTCTGAGTTCAAAATGACCCAAGGCCATAATTTCTGTTGCTTCTTGAATAAAAGTGTTGAGCTCATGTAAATTGACCACGCTGGTAACGCAGTTATCAACATAAAAACTTTCCAACAAATTGCAAACGGTATCCTTATTATATGCGGTGGTTGCTAGTAGAGACTTCTCAAGCATTTTATTCAAATGAAATTTGATGGTCATCCCCAACAGATATGGACTGCAACAAACGCCGAAAACAACTCTTCTATGGCGATATATCTTGAGAGTACCATTCGGATTGTACCAAAAAAATCTCAGAAAATCTCTATCACTTGACTGTAAACTGATCTGTAAAAATGCTTTCGTAATATCACTAATAACACCAATAGGATTAATTCTGAATCTCAACAAGAGAGAAGGAATTTGCTCTATCAAATTTGGACCCCTTTCCAGACAGTCATTTAACGAAGGATGTCCTTTTTCATGTGATGATGCATCAAATACAGGGCGAATTTTAGTAGTTGTGCTACTAGCTTTTATTATTGGTCGATGTAGCAGATAAAACACATTTTCATTATTTATTGCGTTTCTTTCTGTTACCTCTTCAATAATACCAATTTGTTCCCATTCTTTAAGCACATCCCCATAGTCATCAAATAAACCATCTCGTTGTAGTTTCTTAGCTATACTTTCGATACGTTTTTTAGCGATATCTATATTCTTTCTTAAAGGTGGGTGTCCTTGTTTCCATGGCATTTGTACCACATACCGTCCATCCTCGTCTATTTGAACCGTTTCCAAAAAATACTCGTTTACTGCTAAATTGATCTCTTCTTTAGATTGTTTGTCAACAGGATCATCAATGCCGATAATATCCAAATTCCATAAATTTGTAATGGTAACATCCTTACATAACATCGAGGTCACAGACATAGCAGTAATGCTTTTCTGTTTGTTCAAAACAGGAACTTTGCCCAACAATGTCCAACCCAAATACGTTTCTACAGCTACTGGACCACAATCTAAAACATACTTTTTGCCTGTTAGTAGTTTTCCAGCAACATCTGCGCCTATGAGTATCTCCACCGGAGTGGCGATTGTAACATCTGATATTTTTATCTGCAATCTGTCTAATTCATTCATCCATGGTCCATTAAAGACTGGTATTATATTGTCACAGATAATCGATTGTTCTAAAACTTCGAATCGAAAAGCATACCTCTGATCCAAATCTAAGACCCTTACATCATAACATGCATGATCTTGCTCATCAGTACTGGTACCCCCAAATAAGGTATGAATAATTTTCTCCCGCCTCTTAACTGGATACTCTAATTCTTCTGCAGTTGATCTTAAAATGTAAGAACGTTGAGAACCAGTATCCACTATAGCACGTACTTCACGCATAGTATTATCATTACGGATCAAAACTTTAAGAGTTTGCAAAAAAACGTGTGTGTCTGAAATATTAGACAATGCTTTTTCAACAGAGGTGGTTTGATGACTTCTTTCCACAATGTTCTCAGAAGTAGCAGCTTTATTGCTCGCTAAATTTGAACACATGAGTGGTACATGCTTACCATTACAAATGATGCATTTTAGCGTTTGACGACATCTTTTACTGTTATGTCCTAATTTTAGACAAGAAAAGCATGCCCTTTTATTGCTTAAAATGTGTTGTTTCTCCGACAGTAACATTTTCCGAGCCATAAAGCATGACTCACTAGCATGATCTTTTTCGCAAAACAAACATTTTGCAAGACTGTTTACTGACAGTAGAGCTGCTGCAGTCGGTATCGACTCACTCGTTTTAAATTTGGGTTTCTTGTCTTTATTATCTGTCTGAGGTAAAAACCCTTCAACAGCTAAATTAATGCGTTCATCATTTTGTACCTCAGACCTTATAAAACACATTAAAGCATCTAATCTTGTTTTTAATGTTCCACCAGCATTACCCGAAAACTGAGATGATCGTTGCCAAGCTCTTAATAAATCTTCTGGCAAACAAGATTCGACTAAAGGGTATAGCATAGCGGAACATGTATCAGTTGTCACTCCAAGAGTACTTAATGCTCTTAATTGTGTTTCAATACGATCATATAAACTAGACAGACCTAGTTTTTGATTAGGAGACAATGCCTTATTTAAAATAATTTTTAATAGCTCCCGTACGTAGACTTCAACTAATAGGTCTTTCCTCCCAAAACGATCCTTTAGACTTTCAATAGCTTCAGTATAATTGTCGCCCGTGGGAGGAAAACTATTTAATAATTCACTTGCACGAGTACCTGAAGACATTGCTTGAATCAAATATTGAAATTTATCTTCATTAGTGAGTACATTGTCCTCGTGTATCTTACGAAATTGACTCCAAAATGACAACCAATTACGTATATCACCATTGAATTTTTTAAATTCAATAGTAGGCAGCTTGATTCTGCGGAAGATCCCTTTGTTACTATTTGTTTCACTACAAACGCTTTGAGCTTCGTTATGAACTCCATTATTACAAATCACAGCAGAAGAGACTAGTTCTTCACATTGCAGATTCAAGCTCTTAAAAGAAAACTCATACCTATCTACACATGCTATTTCCGTATCTAACTGATCCTCCGTAGCGTCAGCATCCAACATCAAGTCATAAATCTCTTGATTGGCGTGTCGTAGAGATTCAGCTTTATCATGAAACAGCTCTAAATTGGCACGAATGTTATTAATGTCTGGTGATTCTGCTTCTATCATCTCATTCAACTTATTTGCGATCGTCGTGAACGCCCTACGTACCGCTGAACGCGACTTCGTTGCCCGATCCATATCTTTAAAGCGTAGTCGTACAAACGAAAACGATACACAAATCGTTTAAAAATCAGCCTAAAATGTTAACAATCTTATTGCAGAGAGATTTTACACAAACCCCTTGTCCTGTCACGGTCGCCAAATGTTGAAAATAACTTTTAAGAAGATTTAGGCTTCGCAGAATGATACAAATTTTATTATTTTAAAAAATATTATTGATTGACTTTTACTCACTTGATAAAATTAAAAAATACAATATCATGAATCATTTACAACACATTTACAACAATATGTGTAAGATAAATTTAATAATGTATGTTATTAGATAAATATACCTATAGTTTTATACAGTTACAGTTATCCACCACGTAGGTACTTGGGCACCCAGTCACAAATCTTTCTCGCCTTCGCTCTCTTCGTCAGACTCTTTAATTTGTAATGGGTTTCTGCATTTATCAACACAATTTGCAATAAGAACAACAAGAAGAATTATTTGATAAACAGTTACATGTTTTTTTGGAGCAGTTTTTGCATTTGCAGGGCTAAACTGCTTCGAGATTTGCATAACATCAATGCTGGCGAGCATTGCATGAGTACCATTTTTACCCTTTACGTTCATAAATTGTTCGGAATACGCCAGTTGTAGATACATCAAAAATTGATGAATCATCACTCTGGAGATTACCAAAATTACTTCCCGATGGATATGCAGACATTTAATATTGGAACTAATTCGAGGGGACATTACCAAAACTGATGCCATTATGTGAGAAGTAATTTCTGCATTACTTTAACATGTTTAGTGATCGGTCAATCTCTTGAAGATTTAAATTACATTATGCCAATTAAAATATGATGACAATACTTATGTACTTTTATAATTACTCTTATAAGTATAACATATAAACGGCACTATTAAAATTCTCTTACAAATTCAAGAAATATGTGGCAAATATGATTTTCAGTGGATTTGGATATATTCCGAAATAATTTATTTGTAACGAAACGGTTAGAAGTATGACTTTTATCCTTAGGACATTTTTTGTAGTCAATATAAGTAGCTGTAAATAGCCGCTTCAAGTATTGCTCTAACTATTACCGTCTTTGAGTTAGAAGCGATAAAGTGAATCGCCACGCGCGCGACTTTGCCCCCTCCCCCTCATGTTATGCCCACCGCGGAAATGCGACGACATCGATATTTTTTATCTACTATATGCCCTCAACAATAATCAAAAGTCAAAATGCGTTAAACTTCCAGTGCATGCTCAATACCTATATTAGCGCCTGGACTAAGTAGCCTTACGTTTGAGCTACCGGTTAGTTGCATCAGCACGTACTCTCTGTGAGTTTTGAGTGCATTTGTTTGTGTAAAAAGTGAAAACTTGGGGTAGTCTTGAATGTTTTCTCATCAGTGTTAGTAGCTAATCGGACCAATCTATCTCTTTTTTTGATCTATTGCGGAATCCAGAAGCGTTTCTTTTTGTATCGTAAAAACCTAAATTCCAAGAGTCAGAGGGCCGAAGTAGGTGCGTGACTGAATAGATGATCAGCCACTATTGGCTCCAACTTCGAAGCACCGGGCGCCACACCGTTGTATTAAGTCGCCTTACACGTGTGGAGGGGGCTCGACGCGTGTAGACATTTTTTTCCCCCATACTCATGGCACTCTTATTGCCAAACAAAAAACAGAAAACACAACAAACTACTCCGAGAGCACCGGTATTAAAGAGCCTAAAAGACTCTCCGGAGCGGCGCACCGGAAGCTAATAAAGATGAGACAGGAACCAGGAGGCTCTCGGTAAGAGGACATATGGCGAATCAAAGCCTGGATCCTTGACAGTTGACGCTTTTCCCCAATTTACGAAATGTCGACACGAGGGAGAACGCTGCTGATCAAATGCGCAAATCAGGTATCTGTGACCTGCTTGAGGTCAGAGCTAGCGAGAGCAGCTCGAGGGGGGGGGGAGATTTTGATTCTTCAAAACCAAGACCGTAAGGGAAATCCGAAAAGGATCGGAAGCCAAAATGCTGGAGATTAAAGCTACACCACAGTGTTACCTTTACCGATGACATAGTGATTGTAGTACCTACGTAGGGGATTTGAGGAGACTATATCAGTTGTGAGGCACGGAGCTTTAAATCTAGTGGAAACATAGTACGAAGAAGAGGGCTTGTCTGTTAGTCCAACAGAAACAAACCATTAGCTTACTCACGTACAAATAACAAAAGGGCCGACAAAGCTAAAGGACGTTGCAATGTAGGGCACCAAGCTACAGGTAGTGAGAGAAGGTACCTAAATACTTGAGCATCACGTTCGGCCAAGCGCCTAACTTCAAATCACAAATAGAAAAAATAACGAAAAACGCCACAAGGTCCCTGGATATACACTAAAATAATTATACCAGTTATTACGTATGCGTCACTGGTGTGGTAGAATCAGACCTTCGCCCAGAAGAACATACAGATGTAGACTATATGAACTGACCGCCACTACACCTGGTAATTATGGCAGAGGCATTCAGACGCGCATAGTGACTATGAGAGTCAATGGAGAGGAGGAATCGTCAAGGGCGAGGCATTCGCTTAATGTTTGATGAAATCTCTAAAAATAAAATCCTCGGTAGGATAACTGAGAGGATAACCAAAACAGTTTGTGATAAAAAAAAACTGTTTAAGATGATAATCCCCGCTCGATACGGATGAGAGGCAGGATAATACTATGTAGTAAGGTAAAGCAGAATGGAATCGTGTATTACGCAAATGGCTCAAAAACTACGGAGGGCACCGGCTGTGGACTGTACGGAAGCAATTGACAGGACTTCAGAATCTAGGACAAAAAAGCACCCGTGCTCCAAGCCGAGGTATACGCAATCCTGACGGCAGTTGCTCAATTATATTAACAGAAAACCTTACCAAAAGGAAAATCTTTAGAGTAACAGACAACAAAGCACCGATTGCAGAATTAGACTTATATGTAGTCGATTCAGGACTTTTCCTTGGATGCACACAAGTACTAAACGCACTAGGAAGCTGTAAAACAGTCACAAGTGGAACTGGTCGCCCCATCGATTATATCTATTAATTGCTCTTTTAAGAGTGGCGCTCAAAAATCCAAATTACTTGTAAATGAAAGCTCTTAAATAGCTCGTAATTCCAGTAGAAAATTTAATTTGAAAAAAGTAATTCTGATCAGTGGGGAGGCCGAGCCCAAGTAGACTCGGCCACCCCATAAGAAATGTTCGATTCCTAGTGATTATAAGCGAGCTCTAAAATTTTAAGCTTGCGATATGAAAAGCTCCTAAATAGCTCATAAATTGGATACCATTCTTAAATTAGATTCACAATGGCGCGGGGGGGGGGGCTAGGTCCAGCGGGGGGTTTTTTTTTTTTTAATATTGGTTACAAAATTACATTGGCTACATTTTCTAGTTACAAGTGCACTTTAAAATTATACATAATACTGAATGCGTAATCACACAGACCACAGCTAAGTGTACTGTGGGTTAGCAACTGCATGTTAAAGCGATAAGTATTTTGGTTGCGTCATTACACTGGGCGCATTTTAAAAAATCCTTCCAAGTCTTGTGTGTCAAACAGATGATTTTTACAATTCCCTTTACTATTGGTAGCATAATTACACTGGGCACATTTTATGTCTCGTTTTCTAGCTATGTAAGTTTTCTGCTTAAAAAAAAATGGGTTTTGAAACTGGATGTAATTGATTGTAAAACAGTGCGCTTTGTATAAACCTGTAATTGTTGTGCATTAACATACCTATACTTTTTTAAACTGAATTGGTTGCATAGTTACACTGGGCTCACTTTAAGTCCTTGGAATTCTTGTGTATTAAGCTTTTTGATACCTACTCGATTTACAATTATAATTATAGTTGCAACATACTGCACTGGGACCCATTTGAAATCCTTGGAAATCTTGTGTGAGAACATGATTAAGATGATCTTTTGTTCTTGGTTGAGTAATCACACTGGAAGCATTTAAAAATAAATTCCAGGAAACAGATAAGCAAAACGTGCCCCTTACTATATTTATTTCAAAAATTTAATCAAACTTTTAAGTTTTTTTATTGGCGCTGTATGTCTCGTCCTTATTTGGAAACGCGAAAATAATTTTTACTTTTTTTTTACTTATATATTTTTACTTTAACTTCAAATATTTATATTGGTATCGTGCAATAATTGATACTTTGTAAGTTTAATGTGAAAAACTTGACGCGATTGGCATAGATGGAACAAATCTTACCATATTCCTACTTAAAGGGAATACACTTTCATTAACTGGTAGGACTACACAAACCCCATTACTTTATTGAGTGGTAGGGCTCAGTTATCCCAATGACGTCACGGACACATGCGCATAGGCATACCTTGTCTTATTGTACCATGGGTATTATAATAATAAACTTAAAAACTAGTTAATTATGATGTCATAATACCATAATAGAACATAAAACAAGTAAAAAGGTTTTTGCCCTAAGGCGAGTAACTTCAGCGCATTTTCCATAAATTGATCAATACTTCCCCAAAGGCCATACCTATGTGCGCTATGTTTTTCATTACTAGAGGCATATATGGTTAAAATTTTAAAGAAATATAAGAAAGTTGACACTTACTGCCCAGTTTGATTGGTTAAAATTCTTCTTCAAGGTCAAATTACTTTTCGAAGTAGTCCGGAAGGTACTTACTTTTTGGACAGTTACCATGGGCACAGATAAAATTTGGGTATTTTATCTGTGACATGGGGATACCGATGACTTCCGAAATCAACCATTTTTTTGTACCTAAAAGTGACACAAAATAGCGCCTTATTCTGGTGGTTGGAGAAGAATTCTATTTGTCATTGTTTACAGCCGCAATTTGCTGTGGACTAGCTAAAATGCTGAAGAAAACGTTGATGGTTACCTACAACAAAAATATCGACGTTGGAAAATATCATAAGCTGGGAGAATTTCTGAAGCAGGGATCGAAAGGGTACGAAGCAAGGTATGAAGCGAAAAAATC